TAACATTTTTTTCCACAATTTCCTCAGTGAAGCAGAAAAAAGTACCTAACGTATTCTCGCTTATGACTGAAAATAAGCATTACTATGGATAAGCGAACATACGGTGGATTCTAAGTCGACTACTAACTTTGCTGAAACATCACGTTGAAAAACAGATCATTTCGGTAAACTGATGTGTGTTAACTGCTAGACAAAGGGTTTGCGAGAATTGTCCGAAAATAAGTCGTTCCACGGGACCAGTCAACAAACCAAGCCGAGTCATCGCCTATCATGGTTAGGAATGTTAGCTGGATTGGAAGAAGGCCCAGGTTGGTCACACGAAAACGCACCGTCAGTTCCCGAAGTCTCGGAATGTTGGTCTGGGCAGTGTAGACTGCCTGTCTGAGGTCCTCAACACAGTTGGAGTTCCTTGATGAAACGGTTGAACATCGGTCACAATAATGTAGATGCGTTCACTCTTTGACGTCTTCCATATTTTGAACATTCTAAATGACCTTATTTTTTGAATTCCTTTTTCGTACATACACCTTTGTAATGATAGAGAATATTTGTAGCTCAGGTGGATGGTCTTGGTTGTATTGTGTTCTCTGAGATGGGTTGTTTAATCGATTAAACAACCCATCTCAGAGAACACGATACAACCAAGATACACCTTTGTCTCCTTATGTATCACTCCTCCACTACTCACTTATTCGACGCATACTGCTGTGAAGTGTGGCAACGGTGAACGATGCACTTCTGTGCGAAGTTCGACGTTGATTTACCTGTCTGTTAGACTGCATCCAGGGTCATAGAAAGATAAAAACCTGATAGGAACACCAATCATCCTACAGTGATCATCCTCTTGCTTATTACGATCGGTATGGAAGTCGTTTTGACGATATTTTCGACACATGACCGAAGCACGCGTCTGAAGATACCTTCACCCCGTGTGCGTTGGCATCCACCAAGCGCTACCTCACCTTAGATTTAACCATATATTGTCTTCATTCAGAGAGAGATCCTTCAGGTACAATGGTTATAAAACACATTAAGTGGTTAGATATCATCTACTCAAAACGTTTCATAGTAGTGGAGCAGAACCGTGTTGTACACCCGATCTTTAACAACAAGCCAACACTGCAATGGTTCATTGGCTTAGGGAGTTGACCTACAACCAGTATGTCACGCGTTCGACCACCGTTCTACCTACCGAGGTTTGAGCCACCAGACGGTGGTATCATTAGCACTTACACGGTAGATGTGGCTCATTGCCAACTGCACGAATATGCAAAAGCTTGCTGAGTGCATTTACTGTTAATGTTTGCTGTAACCTGCATCAGCATATTCTTGCCTAGGTTTTCGAAATACGGTTGAAAATTCTAGCTATCACACATCTACTAGCTCTAACACAACTATCCAGGTATATCATACAATCAATTCCCTTTATAATTTTTCGCAGAGCAAGAACAACAAATATTGTGGCATAAATAGAATTCAATACGTGTGCTGTAAATCTTCCAGGTATACAAACTCAACTACTTTCAACAGTTCACCACTTACGGTGAGTGCAGACACAGCCTCTTATCAGACTTGTAAAGATACTTTCTATTTGGTGGATGTTAAGCATTTACCGTACTTACTGACTCTAATCGTCAGCCCATTGGGTTGGAGTGGAGCAGTGTCCACGTAAAATTGTATCTTCTGCAAACTCAGGGTTAAAAACTCTGCCCCTGGGTTAAAGATGTATACAACCACAAATATCCTCAGTGGTAGCCATATTTAATTTGTATATTTAAGCAGAGCATTCGAGATCTTTTTTCTACAAATTAGATGAAAATATTCCAAATTGTCGCAGAATAGTACTACTTTCTACAAATTTTAGTATTAAGTCAACAGCATTATTCCTAGGGCTAGAAATATCAGTTACCTAAAATAATATTTATTTAAATTGTAGTTTAGTACAAACCAATTTACCAATATTCAGATTTGAGATCACACCAATGATTTTTTTAATAAACACTTGAGTGAACGATACATGTCAGGTACTTCTAGTCTTTTTGTTGCCTTACAAATCAATAAAGTCGTTGGTGCTGACCCACCTACTGGGATTAATTACCGAATGTGTGTGAATGGAATAAGAAACCAGTTGGCGTATTTGATCTTACACCACAACAGTAATGATCAAATCCACAACAGAAATATACTTCACAATGTACTAAAAGACGGATCCTCCAGTTGCACATCAGATTTTGAAACCAGACAGTATTCCCTAGTGCTAAGTGTTTAGGATGTCTGCCCCCAAAAAACTAAATGACAATCTGTGCATATTATCACTGAGAAATTTAAACCCACACTTCCGCTTCACGCCATTCTACCTGTTTATACCGCGGTTTAAGATAATAAACGTTGATTGGTTATTTTCTACACTTTAAATACAATATTGCATTTTCTATAGCCAAGGGGCTCTAAAAGGTAAATAAACAACTGAATTCTCACCTTTATAGCACCATTTGGTAGAAGTAAATATACTTTCGATCCCATTATCTTCTTATCCTGATGTCAGATGAATATCGTGTTGAGAAGTCATTATTCTACCTCTAATCGTATGAGTCGAAACATCTCACTGCTATCACACTCCTGTCTCGTCACCAGCACGACTCCGTCCTCGAACCCCACCAGAGCATAGCAATTTACACTATACAGGTGATTGCTCTTTGACGTACCGCTATTCAAAAAACCTTTTCGGTAGGATAAGACTTCATGGAACAGCAACTCCAACCATTATATTCAGTTGGGTCTATGTGATATACCCGCCCGACCACAACGTTAAGATAAAAGCTATTGGTCGGGACAAAGACTATAAAACCTGGTACCACTGCACATCAACCCAGGTGGTCACACTCAGATGGAAGTCAACAGAACAAAAGCAGCCATCAGCTGTCGTAAGGAGGACGTGATAAGATTCTAGGAATTTAAATAAAATGTGGATGTGCCAATGCCACTATGATCAATTTTGTACCTTGATAACCAAAATCTCTGACAATCAATTTAAGATGTTATCAGATCACTAAATATCTGTAAATCATCTTTCGTAGCACGGACGGGCTGTTTTAGCTTGAATAGCAAATAAATCACACGCTGAATTCAATGTACTCGTAAGAGAGAGAGGAATAGAGATAAGGTGTAAGATAAAAGTAACAACTGTCCATTAGGATCTGCGACTGTTTACAAGTGGTTTCATACAAAGACCGTAAATGAAAGGAAACGTTTAGAATACACAATTAGGGAAACAAATTTTATATATCATAGAGCCAAAATAGATTTTGTGGCCAAAGATTACTTACTATGATTAAAAACTAAAACAAAGCAAGGACGAGATTCACAAAATAAAACATCACTTTATTTCACGAATAGTCATCAACTCTATAGTCTGAAACTACAAAGGTTTATTAGCACATATTTCAAAATTAGGAAATTAATAGTCTTAATTCGCACTAGTGAAAATGATTGACGTAATCTGTCAACAAACTGACATGTCGTTGCTCGAAATCGAAATGAAACAGCTACTAATCCTTTTCTTAAAATATGTCGTTCTAATTCAATCAGCTTTATAAGCTGATTGATGGAGTGGCAATAAGTTCACCTCTAGAACCTGTTCCGCTAGATATCTTCCTGGGTTACCTCGAACAGTCGAGCCTGAGTTCAGTTATCAGAGGAACAATCTATTGGTGCAAGTATGTTGAAGACACCTTTGTTGCCTGTAATGATATAAAACATGCAAGTGCGTAGTTTGACAAGCACAACGAAGCTTATTCTAACATTAAATTTACGATGGAAAATGAGTATAAAAACGAGTTCAGTCTTTTGGACCTCAACGTGAAAACTGAAGGTAAGACAGAAGACTATCCATAGAAAAGACACATAGAGAGAACAACACCTCAACCGTCCTACCAGCTATAAGCGTGGGTTAGCTGAAATATTTTATAACAGAACTATGCTTTATCGAGAAGTGTCTCGGAGAGAATGGATATTCTAAGAGATTTATTTCGAAGTATGGGAATGAACAGATCGAGAGAAATAAGCACTCAAAAGAACGTTTTCATACACTTCATACTCATTGGAAATGCTACATCCATGCGAATAGACGCAAGAATAAAAAGAGTGCTGAGGAACTTTCTTGCAGTCGATATGCATTAGTTTACAATACATCCTCAACAAACTAGTCAAAATTGGATAATTACCCTGCTCATGTCAACTCCAACTGTTTTTACGAATTTACACGCACTTGTGGTAGCAATTACATTGGAAGGACTAAGAGGATGGCATCCATTCGGTTCACTAGGCACATCTTCAAGAATATGAGCCTAAAAGGGAGTAAGACCCCAACAAGTCCAATTACCAGACACCTCATAGACACAGGACATCAGGTTGAAACCTCAAGTCCTTTTAACTGAGCTTGGCCAAAGCGATTGTTGTAAAACGCTTTCAATCTAACCTCTGCATACAGGAAAGTGTGGGTAATCTCTCACTTTCTTGGTGACTATAATTTGATCATGTTTCGTTTTAACTACATAACTTTATTTATTTATTTTTCCTTTCTTAAATTAGTTACCCCTCTTTACAACAAGTTATCTTCCATGTTATAAAGAATATCAATGATTTTGTTGTACAATTCAAAACTACTGATTTCCTAATTTGAAAAATCTTCAGTACTGCTAACCGCTGTACTTTTGGACTGTATGTGGCTGAAGAGTATTCGTGAAATAAAATACCATTTTATTCTTCCTTCTTGCCTTGTCTAAATTTAATAAAGGGATCCAAGTGCATGAAGTAATAGTTTTATCCTCATATAATCAATACGGGCTGATGGTGCACGACCCCATTAGTCCGACTCAAAATGTCATTGGGAGTACCAAAACACAACTAATCCACTGGGCTTTTGGTGAAAGCTGTAAATTCTGACCAACCTTCACAGGGAAAATCAGACAGAAACTGAGAAATATGAAATCGACAGAGAATTCGAACTGGAACAAAAGCGTATAATTACAAGGTACAGTGATGTTGCGGAGGCAACTTTTAATATATTTTCATTACAAACAAACCTAGGTCAGCAGCAAAGGTACAGTACACATTTGTAATTTGAGTAGTTAATCAACTAAAACCAGGATTAGGAAAACAGGAGAAAGACAATAATCATCTATACATCACAAGTGGCAATAACTTCGAATGCCATTGAAAATTGAAAGGCACACTTAGTTATGAAACTGACCAGCCAAACTACTTCGGAACATAACTGTTTAATAGTTGCTATCCAAATTAGGAGTATCTTGAATGTCATCAGATCTCGTACTAAATGATATTTCTGATGGTATTTCATGCTCAGTTCCCTGAGTAGACTTGAACTCTGAAAGGTTAGATGTTTCTGGCGACACATGACCAGAATTAAAACGAGTCTTTTGTTTGTTACGCAGACACTCGAGATACTCGCGTCTCGACTGCTCCATGACCATAGCAATCAAAGCATCTTCTCCATTCCTGTAAAAAAAGAATGACACGTTACAGAGATAGGCGAAAGGGTATTCAACATCTGCTAATGAAACGCTGAAATAACGATAACGATAGTAATCCAAAAAAGAAATATCTAAACAATAAAAGGCTGCACTCGAAATTATTCCACTGAAATGCAACTATGCTTTCATCACTGCTAAATACTAAACTTTCAGAGTTGTTGAGTTAAATGATTTCAATATGGAAGATAAATTATGTCCAAAACGTTATCCCATAAATAATGCTGTCCCACTGTGACATTCCTAATAAACGGACTAAAATGGAATTAGAAACTGCTGTCTACGGACCTGGTATCAGAACAGACTGGAGATATTGAAAAACATTAGATGACCACACATTAAGTGTTACATATATAAAAATTGTGTAATGTAATTTAAGGTAATCTATGTCAAACCCAGTATAGATTTATATTTTAGGCTAGTTGAAGGATGGAAGATGCACATAGAGCTACAATACTTCAACCACAAACATTTAAAAAAATAAAGAGGCAGGAAGTACGCTTGTTATAACAAAAGTTGGTTCTAAAGACATTAAACATGATTTTCATCTGTGTAAAATACCATGCCCGATTTCTACGTAACTGATGTGATTACACCACGACACACGGTCTGTGCTACGAAAGCAACGGCGGTCAAACATTGGGAGTCTTTCCATACCCCTTACCTTTAGTGACTGTGTCACAGTCGTACAGTAGAACAGAGCGAACTGTAACGTAGTACACCTGACCCTTAATAGTCTTGGATAGTTTTTTTTATTCAGGAATAATTGGGTATATTTTGTCACCAAATGATTTCCCACTTTTTTTGAAGACTAGGAAAATCTGGGATGAAGACCGGTAAGAGGGAATCATATCTGATTCCCATACGCTAACATTAGATAGTTCAACCAATGCTTTTCGATCACAGTACTTAGGTACCTGTGGTAAAAGTTCATATGACCCTGCAGCCCATTCTTGTTTTGGCTCACTTGCAGGTTTCTAAACCCCCGTAAGATTTGGACAGCCAGCTTCAGGGCTTCTCTCAAGATCTGATTGAATGGTTGGTAACGGAAAAATCGCCAATAAAATAGGTATAAGTAATGTAAACACAGTAAACATTTGTGTATTATACATTGAAACACACTTGTTGTAAAGCCTTGTGACACTAATCGGTTTCCAAGGTCGAAGCAGGTACAACAGAGACAGAACCCACGGTCCATTACTTCAAAGACGAGTTCCTTAGTTAATGAGCAATACCTCTGATAGTAGGCGGAGGATAGTTGATTTGTTCCTCGAAGTGTTCCGCTAGTCGTCTCCCCCGCTAGTGAATCACAGACCCATTCTTCTCCGCTATAGTCTCATTAAATATTGACCGTTCAACTCCAGTTTCCTTGATACGTTCAAGTAGCCGCCGACAGTTATCTATCGCCTCTGCCATTTCCCTATCTTCACTGCCCATAAATCATCGCGTTTGTTGAATAGATCTTTTTGTCAGCCTACATTTGAAATGTTTCTAACACCCATTGAGCTCAGAGCCTGCAGGGGTGTGCGCGTGCATCCATTAATACAAAGGAAACTGACGAGACTCACTGGCTGTGACCACTTTCTGGTAGTCAGGTACGGTCTTCAGTGCGGTTTTTACAGCAGAAGGAAGATGATTTAAAGTATCTGGAAAAGTGATGCTGTCCTGTGACGATAACTGTCTAGCCAGTTCCTTGTTCAAATTGACCTCAGCATTCTCATCGTCAAGCAGCATATCAATGGTTCTGCTGCTGTAGTTTTTTCTGCTTTCATTCAAGTCCGAATATATGCATGCTCGAGCTAGCGAATGATTGCTGTCCAAATACGTGCTTCAGAAGCAGTGGCAATCTTCCACCGACTCTCTCCACTGATAACTTATAACAATATGGTCTATGTATGTCTATATTCAGTGAACGTCATATCAAACAATGTTCCTCCTTGTGTCTCAAGTTCGTGCTGGTATGAAATAGATGAGTGTCTGAACACAATTGTAGCATATGATTACCGTTATCTCAACTTTTGGCTAGGATACGGGAAATGTCACCTAAGTACCTTTCTGTCCGACTCAGCCTACTCACTTGAGGATTGAAATCACCAACAACAACCGTCTGAACGTTTGATTTTTGTAAAAGGCTAGACAGCTTTCGGCAGAACTTATCCTTCACTTCATCCGTACTGCAGTCAGTGGATATGTAAGCAGAGAAATATAAAGAGACGACGGCGAGCTCCACTATTCTTTTTAATCCTCACTGTACCATTCAGTCAAAAGGGGCACAGTTAACTAGGATCCAGTCAGGCAGAGTAATCTCTGCCTTAGCACCTGATGTTATACCTATACCTGAAAGATCGCTAGAACTAGTCATCGAATCTCCAAACTCGAATGGTGGATACTGCAGACCCACTATGTTGGCCGAGTGGCCCTAAGTATACAGTAAGTTGGGTTCTGTATGCATAACTCACAAACACGGAACACATCCATGGTTTAAGATGCCACAGCTTTGACCAGCGAAGTTTTTTGGCATATTTGATGGAGGGTGAGGATACTGAAAGCTGATATAATGCTTGAAGCGCGGTTTCAAAACGGCAGGCATGCCGCTTCGTGAACACATAGTTATCAAGAGCTGCAGAGCTGGAAGATGACGTAGGAATACCGACAGATAAGCAGACGTGGGGGAAAGTTACAAAACAGGTATAGATACAGAACCGGAAGTGGCTAATATAATGGTTGAAATGGAGTCCAAGTAAATATCGTGAACGATGTCGGACAGCGAAGGTTGAAGAGATGGCGAAAGTAGTGGTAATAGGTAACATTAGACAATTATTTAGACTTACAAAGCAAACTGGACTGGTCGATGGTCACCGAGACTATAGTAGTGAAATATGATTTCACAATTCGTTTTTAGATATGACTGGAATGACGGGTGGAATACTTCGAGGAACAATTCAACTGATTGACAGTTAGTCTTCAGTTGCTAGTTAACGAGTCACATCATGAGTCCCTCATTGACACGGACCTCCAACTTCGCTGAAGTCAAGGCTGCAAGTGATCTAAAGACAGGAAAAGTAGGTAACGTGCATGTCCTAGCTCCAGAGAGACAGTATCCGGGCCTTCTGGTTTGGAATGACTGCTATATAAGCTGGGGTAAAGCAATAAGAAATGATCCTTTCTAATTAGTCTCCACTGTTGACTGTCACAACCATCAAAAAAGGAGAAAAGCCTCTCAGGATAGGAACAAGGAAGTCAAGCTGATGGACGATTCCGAAGATCCTAGATTCTGTCATTATTAGACGCCTAAAGGGAGCTCGGTAACAGCAAACCCGTGAAAGCCAAGTGGACTTCACACCTGACCGCGGGTGTATGGGGCAAATCTTAGAGCCAAGAGACCATTCCTGGCGTTCGAGTTTCCATAATTCCTGACTTGAAAGCGGTATCGAGTGTCTATTGAACGGCCTTGTGGCAGTGTCATTCGAAAGAAGCGCTGGGTAAGTCCATTACCTCACCGAAGGCTTTACACTCGATGGCCTATGATGAGATATCATTTGAGTTGATGACTACCAGTGGTATCCGTCATACACGTGCATCTGGAAGTTTCTCTTCTGAGCCGATTTCACAAAGATTGATTTTATGGGCTTTTTAGTCGACCTAGATTGCGCAGATGACAGTGCTGCTAAGTGATGTTGACAAAATACAATCTTCTGGACACTGAGTGCTTGACACGTGTTTCTCACCACCCATATGCAAATTGACGCCGCGCGAGTACTCTGAGTTGATGCCCCATCAAACAGTAGGGAGTAAAGTGGTTCAAAGTGTTGACCACTTCACTCACTTGAGAAACCGGATTGACCCCTATCGGTTAGCAAGAAATGAAGTAGCAGCACGGATACCAAAGACTTGCGCGACTACGCTAATCCCAACAGCAGTGAAATATCCAACCACCCACCGGATGTAGAGCAGCCAGATAGTGGTGAAAACCCCATTAAATAGGTTGACTCTGGGTTATTTGATTTCTTTCGGCTTGAAAATCGGGACCAATGGTTGGAGACTCTAGGTAATATAGCTTATACCAAAAGACAAAAAAATCAACGCAGAATATGACAGAAGTGCACTGGGTCAAGTAGCTAAACTTCACACCAGCATACAATGCGAGTAGAAGTGATATTAAGGTAGACAAGCGTATGAATTGAAAACTAGATGAAGGTTAATGAAAATTTCAATGCCAAGAAAACAACAACTTAGATCGAGTTTCAAGGACTAATACAACCAACGTCTTGGTTTGACTACTCGACGTTATTGCAACCCAATCGTATTTCCGTAAACATATCACGTCGCAGTAAGTAGTGTCTCAGTATGCACAACATACATTCAAGTAACCTCCATCAACAAAGGTTCACAACTCCACCGGTCGACTTGCCTTCCTTATGTAGTGTATTGGTGATTCATTGTCTTGAGCAATTGACTTTCAAGCAATAGGTCTACGGTTTGAACGCCATTCCACTTGTTTCAGCTAGGGAAACTAGGCAACATCATAACCACTCACATATGTAGCTCAATACATGAAAACATGTGCCAGGTTAAAATGCCTTTTTTGAGTTGCATATACTGACGTGATGTATCCAAACATTACCTTCATCTGAATCGGCATACACTATTTCGTCATTGTTTTAACAACTCTCATCTTTGTATGACTTCTTACGAGTTTTGACTACATTGTTTTCTTATTTCCCTATCGCTTACCTTGCCACTTTGTATCATGCTGACCATATGAAGCTTGGCAACTTGGACCACTTGCAATAATGTGAGATCCCACAGCGACAGAAATCGACTAGCTGAGAAACTTACGCCGAATCTCGTCACTGTTCGCACGGTGATGTCATCACATGCGAGCAGTCCAGCCAAGATGTGCGGTAGAGAACTGGTAACCTTTTCATTTATTTTACTTTCAATAGCAATGTTTCAAACCAAGATATTAGTATATTTGATTGTTAGCCTTAATTCCTTTTCTCTGTCTCACAGTTTTCGACAACCTTTATTATATCGTTTCCGTTTGTCCTTCATTTTGTTGCCTTATAACTTCATGTGTCAAGTAACAAGTGACAATAATACCAGTCCTCATGTTATTGAGTGACTGATTACGTACTAACTGAGTGTAGTGAAGTTATATACACTCAACGGTATACAGCTGTGTGAAGAGAAACAAAACATGTCTCTCTTTTTAAATCTGACTGATGGAACTAAACACCCCAATCACACCAGAACAAACACTAGATAACGTGTAAACAGATTAGTCATTCAGATGAAAGCTCAGTAATTAAACATCATAAATGTAAATTAACCTAATTAACATTGTGACTGAGAAAGATATTCTTCGACTGGTCAGCTTTCATGTTTCGACAGAACCTTTATCAAACGATCATTTTGCAGCATACAATAACCGCAAGTTTCTATATGTTACCGATTACTACTGTCGATTGCGTGCCATTAAATGTGCAAGTACATGAATAAAAATCGGATTCATATCAAGGGTTGTGATTATTCGTCCTGACTCTTATCACCTGGAGGTTACTGGAACTGGAAAACAGTCATCATCATCGATATCAACATAGGACCAGGCATCACTGCGTAACGGTCCGAGTTGCCACAGCTCATATCAGTGCATCACGTAAAAAGGCAGTGAGGTGCAAGATTAAGATAAGAAAATCCGGTTAAAAGAAATATAAAGTACAAAAAGAGAGAAAGGAAGAATGAGGAAATGGTGAGATTCGGCATAGTGTCGTTAAGGTGAGGATAATGTACCTCGACAGTGTGAAGGATACACCCTTATCATTTGAGATGTGAAAAGCCACGATAGTAACTGACTGATCAACAGGGTTCTGAATCTACATACAAGTTGACAACTAAAATGAAAAAGCTCTCGGTGGCCGTTTTACTTCCCAATACTGAAGTCATGGTCTTCTTCAAAGACTAACTCGACAGAAACACGTGATACGACAATTACACGAAATTTTATGTAATCCTACTGTTGAGTCTGTAGTGTCAACGATTGTGTGGTGCACTACTGTAAAGTTAAGCTTAATCTCAGAAAGACAGCCTTCTGCTTCCTTGCATTAATTAAGATTAATTAACACACATATCCACTCGATATTTCTATCTGAATAAAACGTACAAGTTAAAAGATCACCTTGAAAGCTTTAATTTGTGAGTGTGTGATTCCAAATCGATAATTATTGTTATGGTATAATGAACAGGTAGTAAACAATAAATCTGTCGTTGCCATCTTCATCCCCCTATCTAAGAAATCTGTGAATTGTAGGTTATTCCTTAACACTGAAGTTCGTCTATTTCACGAATCCCATGAAAGCTTTTTAGACAAGTCTAACCAAATGGTCGTTGTATTACGTTATGGCCACCATCTGCCTCGTAGCGCAATGTTAGCCTAAGTAGGTTCAGGCTGGAAAAGGGCTCAGGGAGGCAGGACTGGAACATAGAATCAATGCATGAAGTCCTTGACTGTTCGTTTGAGCATATAGAGCGATGCAGACTAGCCGGTTGGGGTCCATGGGACAGGAGCAATCAGTGGTTGGAGACTCTAAGTGATATGGTTCAGAATTAAGGTCAGTGGCGCAGATGTGTACATACACAATCCATATCCTAATCGTTATACCTACTCCTATTTCCTTATTCCTCCCCCTCTCTCTTACTACTTTCCACTTCTTTTGACCGATTTTTCTTTCTTTTACCGTCTTTTATTTTACTGCCTTGTAGCTTAATGTACTGACATGAGCTGTGGCAACTTGGTCTTACATACAATTTGGTTCCTTGTTACTTAGGTGGAGTGGAATTCGAGCCCAGGAGTTATTCCTTGGAAGTCGAATTCTTTATCTGAGCCACAACCCCATTAATATATCTACAGGAGCGAGTAGAATAAATACACCTCCTAACAGCTTAACTCACTGTTTGATCAGATTGACGAACAGAAAAATCATGTTCTAACAAATGAATACAGGGACCACTACAGTTACAAAAGGATAAGCCAAAAAATCAAATTCCGCATGCATGTTAAGAATCACTAGTGAGATGGAAACAAATTTTTTCATAGAATAGCATAGCTGAAATCTAAACTCTCAAGAAAATTTCATAAGGAAATATCCTACTTAAAATGTATTTTGGGGACTCACCTAGCATGCAAGCAGGGATATGACGTAGAGTCACGTCGGTTTGTGAATTAGATGAGCTTGGCAGTGGTTCTCTTCCTGAAGAACCGTCTTCATTAGTTCTTGGGTCCGGAACAGAGGCTCTTGAAGAGGACGCCACATCAAAACTCCTTGTCAAATTCGCAGGAAACCTACAACCCAATTTCAGTTTCTGCTGGTCAGGAAGTATATCCAAATTTTTGGATGCGGAAACAGTATTATTTGCCTCATTTGCCTTCTGGGTAACCTGGAAATCACCAGAATTTATAATGATTGTGAATTTATCCGCTCAAATGCTTATAAAAATGAGTCACTACGTACTACTAAGTCAAACGTGCACATCTCAGTAGGTTCACGCGTTGGTTGCGAACTAACCACCTGTGGTATGCGTTTAATACTCCAGAGCAAACAAGCGTAAACTTGATGAAGGAATGGCTAACAGAAGAATCATATCTAATTTATATGCATCAAACTGCACTAAGCGACCACATGTATATCCATGCAGGAGACAATGACACATCTGTTGTCTGGAGGCTAGTGATATTACCTGGCTGTCCAGACCTCCATACAAGCAGTAGTCGAGCCTGTGACCCACCGTTTGAAAGTCGAGTGTCTATACCGGTAAGCCACCACTCCAGATACTCAAAATGGTTACACTGCCTATAAACACAATGGATCCCACTTAGCAAAAACCAAACAAAATTTTCATCCACCACATAGATGTATACAGCACATCCAAGATGATTTAGGATCGGTCAACGAATACTCCCACTCTAAAAATAGGGAGTGAAGTGGCGCAGTGCATTGGTCACTTGACTTACTTGCGGAGCTGCACCAGCCTAAATTATCACCTCAAACACAGAAAACCCATTAGAGGCAGTTGCAAACTCGCATCATCTCTAGTGTCAACTGTCGAGATAGCCAACCACTATCAAAGGACGAGTAAACTGAATTGCAGTCTGTTCTATCCTCTCACATAGTTGAGGTGTGGTCGTTGAAGTAGACATGAAGAGACTGCAAGTTTACGAACACACCAATGTTAGTAGCAACATTCATGTGTGATGGAATCGTTGTATGAGCATTGTTGAGGTCACGCGAAGGACAGGATGCAATACAAGCAAGTGGACCGACGAACTTTCATCGAGGTGGCTTCGACATTTGTTGTCCAAGCCGAGTCATCGCCTAGCTCGGTCTGAAATGTTAGCTGGGTTGGAAGAAGGCTCAGGGTGGTCACACGAAGACGCACCATCAACTCATATAGTCTCAGAATGTTGGTCTGAGCCGTGCTGACTGCCTGTCTGAGGTCCTCGACATGGTGTGAATCAACGGTTGAAGACCTTTGATGACATGGCAGATGCGTTCACGCCTTAACGTCTTCCAAATCTTGAACATTCTAAACGATCTTATTTTTTTCTAATTCCTTTTCCTCACACAACTTTGTCTACTTTGATAGCACCCTTCTACTATCCACTTATTTGATGCATGTTGCTGTGAACGGTGGCAACGGGGATCGATACACCAGTGTGAGGTTCCCCGTTGATTTTGTTTGTCTGTAAGTGCAAATGTGACTCGAGTTCCTAGGAATGTAACTGAAGCGGATAATTTTACTTATCACATACTGTTTATTGTTAATAAAACTTACAGGGACTGAGATTTGTTTCAAGTAGTCAAAATAGGATTCCCGAACTGCTTGATCTTCAATGCATCTGTCAATTTCATCTTGTTCCGTTTCCGCCAGCTTATCGCGCAGCATAGCCTCCTCGAGTTGCGTACTTTCAGATTCCCTGATCGCCCGTGCAATGAGGTCTGGTTCCGCCAACTGAAAAAAAAACAGTTTAACCGTCTTAATATAAACATACGCCAGGTTGGTAGTTAGGCATACCCAACCCGTGACCAAATGATGGATTGAAGGGATCTACTATGGAATTATAGTGAACTCGACCATGATAACTCAGTCTGATAGGGAATTCTTTGGAATATTCGGCATGAAATACATTGATTGGTTCTACTGAACCATGATAAATCTCAACAGGTCTGTTATACAATTCCGCGATTGCCTGGATCTCAACATGATTTCCATAACAAGATGTATCTCGCTTGCGAGATATATAATGATCAAAATCTTCTGTAAGGTACTGTGAAAAGTGTTCTTTGTTCTTAACCTTAAAATTTAGAAGAAATGTAGTTCATGTTACCATGTAATCAATGACCTGAGAGCGAACAATGTCGTGCTTCTCTTCATCACCAAATATCTGATGGGCTGCAAAAATTACTTCAAGAATGACACCTACAAACACTCCGAAACAAACAAGCGCCGTCAGACCCAACCTTGATTATTTTCCAGCCTTTCTTCTCTGCCAGCAGCCGCTCAAGACTATCATCTGTTGGCTAAGTTGCATTGGATGAAACGGGAATCAATTTTACCTGGATGGGAGAACCTCTTCGAGCGTGTTTTCCGAAGTAGTATTCATCCTCACTATTATTCCCGGAGCCATCATCCACCACAGCGGGTTGAGGTATCACTTGGTTCGTTTTATTCTCACGTACATGAGACCTACATTCACCAGAGCTCAAGGGTTCATGTTGTTGAGAAATCTGACGGGGTTGGGTGTGGGCAAAAGCAGCATGGGACGAGTAGATAGGTGCATCAATTGGAAAGGAATAAGGTAAGGGGGAATGTGGAGTCTCAATATCCTGGTTCATGTTGGACTCATGATGGGGACAACGATGTCTGTTACGATGAGACACAATTTCTTTACGTTCTTCATTATAAGGATATGGTTTGAAACTAAAGCTGTGGCGAGTGTTCGCAGAAGTTCCTGGAGGATCTCTTTCGGGTTTTACCCTGTCTTTACGATTCTTAATAGTCATTTCAGACCGTTTACAGGAAGTGTATAATGAGAGTTTTCCAATAATATCGTCAACAAGGTTATCCAAACGATAGTCCGAAAGATCGGAGTCACCAGTGGCTTCCGAATCAGACCCGCTACCAGATGACAAACCGCCTTCCGTCACCATTACGTAGGAGCGCCATTTCTCACTTATCCTTAGAATAGACAATTCTGTCTCTATCAGTTCTAAATAAATTTTGAAAAATTTACAACCAATCTATTTCTAACTAATGGTCATGAAACAGACATCTGTAAACAACGAAGTTCAATGTACAACAACCTATGCTCATCCACTTGGTGCAGCAACACTGGTCAAACTCATAAGTTAATTCCCGAAGACTGCAACCTACTGGTTAAGTTCCAGGTTCCTGCGCATCCAAATAATAATTTCAGCACTAGGGATTACTTGTAACTGTATTTGTCAACTATCATTATTCGACACTTCTTCGAGTTGGCAGGAGGCAGGTTTTCTGTAGTCCAATTAAGGATTTTAGTAAGGTCCTCCCAGAAGACCGGAATATCCGTTGCCTCCGTATTTCCCTCTAACTCTTCAGATCATCAGCACACAATAGTGAATACGAATTAAGGACTCCTGTTAGGCCATTGTTAAAGCAAGAAACAGTAGTGGGCCCGGGTTAGAACCTTGGAGTGCACCACTCAGCACTGGTAACCATTTGGATAGAGAGTAGCCGACTCTGACTGCAACCTTGTGTACAGACAATCTTTAAGCCAAATTAATGACTTTCCGTGCACACTCATGAGCTGAAGTTTCTTACAAAGGATGTCATGATTTACACTGTTAAAGGCCTTAGAAAAGTCAAGTGAACCTATGTGAATAGGCCTTCTCCGCTCGACAGAGAGTGTTCAGCTACTCCAAGCTATCAACAAGTTGATGTTACATGACCTTGCTGGTAGAAAGCCATGTTGAAAGTTGTTGAAAGATTGATTTCTCAAGTAAGTGACCACGAAATGGGTCATTTATGACTCTCTCAATGGCCTTCGCAACTAAAGAGATCAAGGGGATCGGTCTGTGGTTGGAGGCGAGTGGCTTGTTTCCACCCTTATAAATTGGGACGATAGACCCTTGTTTCCAATCAGAGGGTAACATGCCTTCCAGAAAAGAGCATTTGAAGAGGTTTGCTGGTGGAGCTCACAGAGCTTTAGCACACTCTTTGAGTACTCTTGGGTGAATCCCATCAATTCTTGGAGACTTATTTGGGCTCAGACTCTTTAATATTTCCATAATTATAAACGGTTCAAACTCTATGTGGTTTAACCGCTCTGTAATACGGGTGTCCGACAGATGCCGGAAGTTGTTTTGGAATTCATGAGCTAGTACGTTTGCTACTTCGGAGTTAGATTGGAGAATCTCCAAACTAATGGGGTCCTGTGAACTAAATTAACTGTTACTCTTCTGTTTCATCAGCAAGTGCTATATCCCATGATTCCCCTCCAGGGGTCTACAAAGTTGTGTCTGGTGGTTTATTCTGTCATCTGTGATTCTTATTGTACATCTGTCATGGACGCCTTTATAATTTGGCCAGTCGGTGGGGCTATCAGTGCACCTCCATAGATTCCAAGATGACCGTGTACGCAGTATTAATCTGCGCGTGCTTGACTTAAGCCAGGAGGAGTAGAATTCGTTGGTTCTTCTTGGAATCAGAGGAATCTTTTATCGTCTGGAGGATTGTGTTCTTCAACAGATCCCATCTGGCATTCAGATCCTGTAGGTCACCACAGTCTGGGCAAGCGGAACCTTCTAGATCTCGCCGGACCTTCTCAAAATCAGTTCTATTGTAATTCCTGGTTAGTGGGCGGTCAGGAGAGGGTGGCTGAGATATAGAATTTTGAAGTAGATAACTGCATGGTCACTCAGGCCAAGACAGCTGAAGACATTCAGGTTGCTTACCCCCCAATAAACCCATCTGTGAAAATATAATCCAGTCGGGATGCCTTGCCATCGAACTCCCAGCGAGTACACCAGGAGACATATTTGGTTGTAGCGTCACACACTTCCCCAAAATCAATAGCCTAGGGTTTGACGACTTTCGACATTGATGCTGACCTTGATAGTTTAACTGGACTCGCTAAGCTGAAGGCACCCGGTCAAGCATCCTCGCCATTTGGCACGCTGTCGTGTTACGTTGCATTGCTCGTATTCGACTCTCTAGCCAGTTAGTTGGAACGCATCGGTATTTTGGCATAACCATCCAAATATACTATTCCATCCGACTACGCTATCGTGTTCTTCCTTGGTCTCGTATTCGTGGGTATATAACAAGTTCGAATAATTAGTGATTGGTCTTTGCGTCTGTCAAGTTCGCACCAGGACAAATCCTAAATTGGTGAGCCCGACGTGATCAAATATCCCGACCAATAACAAGTATTGAATTGGTGAGCCTGTTCCATTTTATATTTGTTTATTGTTTTCATTTCGATAACATTTATATATCCATTTACTACACTTTCTCATGTCCGACCACACTCCCAAGCTTATTCGTATTAAGCCGACTCGAACACGATCCAACTCGTGCCATATTGGCCAGACAATGCAGAAACATGGTTTCTGTATGCCGAGGCCGATTTTCGAGAACAGGGTGTCTCAGATCCTCATTCTCGATTTCTTGCTGTCATACGGTCACTACCGCGAGAATTAAACAGGTATGTTACAGCAAACATGTTTAATCCTGAAGTAAGTGACCCTTATGCACTTCTAAAGGCCGCACTCTTGAAGAAAAGCGATCTCACAGATCGCCAACGTCTAGACGAATTGCTTCGTAACATCGAGCTAGGCAGCCACTCAGCTACTGAAGTCCTCGCACGCATGCGAGAAGTAATCGGTGCACGAACATTTGACGATGGTTTCTTCCGAGAACTATTTCTCTCGAAACTACCACAACCGGTGCAAACCGTGTTGGTGACACTCCAGTCAGTCCCACTCGACGACCTGGCAGCCTCAGCAGATAAAATACTGGAGATATCCAGCAGACCCGTCTCCAACGTATATTCTATCTGCGACAAACCAGAGCGCCAGGATTCAGGGGTGACCAAGTTGTGCAACTCTGTGAAACGGTTGCTACGATCTCGAAGTCCTAGATCACGTAGCACTTCACAGAAACGCACCTTGGCGCATCGCAGCAAGTCGCGTGGTAGCCCTAAAACGAAACCCAACAGGGTGGAAAACCCTGAATGGTGCTGGTTTCATAACACTTACGGGGATGAAGCCAGAAAATGTCGTAAACCATGCCGTTTTAAGAAGGACACAAACTCGGGAAACGGTCACGCCGGCACGTGCTCACGGCAACCGTAGCCGGCGGAAAAAGCCGTTTGCTCTACGTCACCGACATTAAAACGAAAGTCCGCTACCTCGTCGACACCGGCGCAGAAGTTAGCGTTCTTCCAGCAACGACAAAGGAGCGTCATCTCGACCCATCCTTCAATCTTCAAGCAGCCAACGGCAAGGCAATCGCGACATTCGGGAGACGGTATGCCTACCTCAACTTAGGTTTACGCAAACCTATTCACTGGATCTTCCTCCCAGCAGACGTCTCTATGCCCATCATTGGCATAGATTTGCTGAACCATTACGATCTACTCGTAGATGCTCGCCGTCGACGACTGATAGATAACACAAAGTTATCTATTGGCGGCACCACCTATGTAGGTCCGAGTTTAGCCATCGTTAGGACTAAACAATCAGGCGACGCGTCCTACCAGGCAGTTCTGGAGAAATATCCAGAGTTACAACAACCGAAACACACTCTTCCGTGCATAACCAGCAATGTTATGCATCACGTCACAACCACAGGTCCACCTGTGGCATCCAAAGCGCGCCGTTTAGCCCCCGATAAGCTGCAAACGGCGAAAAATGAATTCGACCACATGCTCGAACTGGGCATTATCAGACCGTCAAACAGTCCTTGGGCATCGCCATTGCACATGGTTCCCAAAAAGGATAGCAACGACTGGCGTCCGACCGGTGATTACCGAAGGCTTAACGCCAAAACAACTCCGGACTGCTACCCTATACCTCACGTTTACGACTTGACCGCAACCTTATGCGGCATGAACATTTTCTCGAAAATCGACTTGGTCAAAGCGTACAACCAGATACCTATGGCAGCAGAAGATATCGCGAAAACAGCCATTATTACTCCTTTTGGCCTGTTTGAATTCCTGCGCATGCCTTTTGGTCTTCGGAATGCAGCACAAACATTCCAACGCTTTATGGACGACGTCTTCCGTGGTCTGAATTTTGTTCATGTCTACATCGATGACTGTCTAATTGCGAGTCCAGATAAGGAAACACACCTTAAACATTTGGACCTCGCATTCGAAAGACTTAAAAAACATGGCATCACAGTTAACTTACAGAAGTGTGAAATAGGAGTTGAATCACTCAGCTTCCTTGGGCATACCATTGACAACAAAGGTATACGCCCATTGAGAGATAAAGTGGCGGCTATCACAAACTATCCAGAGCCGACCACTGTGAAACATCTCCGCACTTTCAATGGCCTGGTAAGTTATTACCGAAGGTTTATCCCTAACTGTGCCTCTGTCATGAGACCACTCACAGATCTACTTCGAGGAACTGCGAAGTTCGTGTCTCTGGACAACGCGGCTAGACTTGCTTTCTCTAAAGTCAAGGAAGCCATTTCGAACGCAACCATGCTTATGCATCATGACCCCAATGCTCCTCTGAGTATTGCTGTTGATGCATCTGATTCAGCAATTGGAGCAGTTTTGCAACAGTTGACTGACAACCAGTGGCAACCGTTAGCCTTTTTCTCGAGGCGGCTGCAAGACGCGGAAACAAGATACAGTACATTTGGTAGGGAACTCCTAGCCATGTACTGTTCTGTACGCCATTTTCGACATTCTGTGGAAGGTCGTGATTTCATTATTTTCACAGACCACAAACCGTTAACCTTTTCCCTCAGCTCGGCGTCTGACAAATACTCCCCTCGTGAGTCGCGACAGCTGGATTACATTTCCCAGTTCACGTCAGACATCCGCCACATTTCTGGAGCAAACAACTCCGCAGCCGACGCACTATCTCGAATAGCTTCGATAAACTATATCGAGGGTATTGATCTCGTTGAACTAGCTCGGCGTCAAAAGGAAGACCTTGAGCTGCATCATGAGTTGTCGTCCACAACTCTCAAACTGCGACTTTGTCCTGTTGGATCAGACAAGGATGCAATTTTGTGCGATGTCTCTGCTAGTCAACCACGCCCAATAGTTCCGAAGAGTTGTCGACGCAACGTCTTCAATACGTTGCACAAACTCTCTCATCCAGGTGTACGAGCCACCATTAGGCTTATCGCACAACGTTTCTGCTGGCCTGGGATGAACAAAGAC